TTTTAAAAGTACAAGGACATGTGATGCCTTTTTGCCTTTTTTAAATAAAAATTTTAAAATATTATAAACACAACACATTTCCGGTTTTGAGTGATTGATGATTTTTTTATAATCGTGATGGATCATACACTTAAGAATGGTAACAAAAAAGTATAATTTAATAAAAAAAAACTTAAAACATTTAAAGTCAATAAAAAGTATAATTTAAACATATATTTTTTAATTAAATCAAAATAAAATAAAATAATTAAATGTTTTATCCTTGAAAATATTGTATTTGGCAATATAAGATCATAGACAAATATGGGTTTTGTTGGTTTGCATAAGACCAAGATTCCATAAAACCTTGAAACATACATGTGCCTGAATTTTTTTTTTGGATAAATTCTTTTATTACCCAAAGAAACAGACTATGCTATAATACCAAATAATGGTGTTCAGATCCAATACGATCCAAAAAATAATCGAAAAACGATCCAAAAAACCGATAACAAAAAAAAACTGAAACCAATAAAAACTGAAAGTTGACGTGCCCGCACTTTAACTGAAGATTTCTTCTGCGATAGCTCAGGATGAATAAGACGTGCCCACGCCTTATGCGAAAACCTCTTCTGGTCTTGCCAACTTCTTGAATTCTGATTTTTCCTCCTTAATTTGGGGATATCGTGAAGATCATGATATTCATTAGATTTTGAACTTGTGTAATCCAAATCTTCAACAAAAAGATTGATCAGTTAAAATACCCCATGCGTTACAAAGATTAATATTGACACTATTATCGGTTAATGTATCTTCCTCTAAGTTGAATTCCAACTATCTCTTTGATAGCAATGTTGAAACATGCATTTCATCTCCAATATATTCCGTGTATCACAACGATTCCCATCTCATCAAAACTTGGATTATATAACGGTTAGGCAAATTATTTATTTTATTCTATTGTATTTTTTTAATTATGGGTTTTAGATTAACTAATGAACACCCCTGATTCTCCTAGAGTCTATTATTCACTTCCCCTCCATTAGGATTAGTATTAAATTTAGAATTTGTAAAACAATAGACTTTATATAAAACAAAATGTTTATAGTTTTATATATCGTCATAACAATAAAATTTAAGGTAAAACTACATTTTAGTTGTTTAACTTATTTTAGTTCTGTCTTGATCATCCAATGTGTTATAATTTTAAATCATAATTAAAGTTATGATTTAGTTTCATTTTGGTTACGCACCATTTAAAAAATTAACAGAGATCTTGATGTGTCACCATAAGATAATGACATGTCATTATTGAAAAAAATATTTCTATGCTAGTGGTTTGTTTAATTTAATAAAGATTATCAAAATGAGACCAAAACATAACATTAGATATAATTTTAAAAATAAAATAGATAGTTGATTAAAACATTACTAAAGTTATTGAATACGTAGTTTACCTTAAAATTTATTGCAAATCTATAAAACCCTAGACCCACTTCTGCAACAAATGAAATAGCAACCGCGCACATAAGACCACAAAGTTTTGGCCAGCTTGTGGTGAGTGGCCATTCCAATACACAAGATTGTCTGTAGTTGATGGCTCACTTCTCCCTCAAGTTTAGATACCCTAATAATGTTCCTTCCAGCAAAATCACTTGCCTGCATGTTTTCATCCTTATATGTTGTTTTTATCCCTTTTCTTGGATTTTTATTCTTTGGACTCATCCCCCCACCCTTTAAATCAACTCTAGAGAAGTCTTATCATCATTTTGTGTTTGAAAAGAACATTGTTTCACTCTTCAATGGTGATAATGAGTATCTGGAAACGGTAATTCATTACGAGTAAATCAAGTGGAAGAGCATTTTTCTAGATTCAAGTGAAAAGAAGTAGAAATGCGGGAAATTTTTTGTTTCAGACATGTAGGGAAGATGATGCAGTCTCCTCCAGTACCTCAACCCCATCAAATGATGGAGGAAAAGGACCGTGCCCGACCCGAACGCCTTGATGTGATCTTTCAGCGATCTCTTGTGCTTGAAATCGGAGCCGCAAAGGCAGAGCCAACGCTTCCCGCAGTTCTTCTCGTGTGTTCTCCAGTCACCTTTCACCGCCAAGAGCTTGCCGCACTTGCGGCACATGAAGGGTTTCAGCCCGTGTTTCCTTTTGTAATGCGTTTGCAGTGTCCTGAAATCTTTTAGCGGCTTCGCCCTTGGGTGTTCGATGTTGTTTTTGCACCCTTCGGCGCAGCAGTAGCATGGGATCCCTAGCATGGCTCGAGGTTGAGATCCTTCAGTGACTCTGGCCCTTTACGATACTGTGAACCATGTCCCCACATATGCATCATTGAATCATTGCACATAAAGTATATCATATCAGTCAAATATGCAGACATACAATATAACATGATGAATATAGAGTAATTCCACCTGAAGATTATTGTAACGGTTGAAGGTTTTAAAGCAGACATGGCAAGAGAAATTCGTGAAGCCGATGAGGATTGTTCCGGTGTCGGTATCCAATACTGTTTAGCACTCCACCAGCAACATTTTCCTTGCTGTTGCCGGTATCGACATTGGAGGGATCAGGCAGACCAATATGCAAGGCCACAGTGACATCCTCCTTGTCTCCTTGTTCGAATGTCGTCTCGGAAGAGCCGATAAAGCAGCTGAGCAACGGCTTGGGCTCTAGTGAGTCGTGCATTGAGCATGGAAAGAGGTCAAGTGGCTCAATATCAGTACAATCACATGAATATCTGAAGGTTCCATGAGGAAGCAGAATGTGGTGGGTTAATTTTATTGAACTTTGGGAAGGTTTTATAGTTGGATTCACAGGGCAATTGATGATAAGAATTAAGTCACTGATAACAGAAAAAATTAAGAAAGAATATTGGGGGTAGGGGTGGCTGGGAATAATGCAGTTGAATGAAAACAACATTTTGTGGGGGGTCATAAATATCTGCTGCTTTTTATGCTTATCTAATCTTGGGATGGGAAGGGAAATACCTTAAATCCTGTGGCCCATGGCTTCTGACTTTAGCAACAATTGCACTACAGAAGGTTCAAATTCATTGGCAATGTGTTATATAGTCTGGTTTACTCTCACCCTAGTCGACACCCTTGCCCATTAGATATTCATTATTCCTTGCAGGATCAATTCTTTCTATTTCTACTCCACAGGATTATGACTTTCTTTTTTCACCTTTATGTAAATCCAAACACTACAAGCCTTAGTAATTACTCCATAATATTCGACTTATCAAGTTACAAGTAAAAAGTAATTTTAATTCATTAACCAATTTCAACTTTCAATCATATCTCCAAAAAGATTGAAACTTTTGACAGTGAATTAAGACGCGGCCTTACTTTTGAAAAACAGCTTTTTCTGTGTGCACTGATGTGCTTGGTATCCTTATATACAAAAACATAGGATGACTACTCAACTCCATTTACCATGAATTGAAGCTACCTGTGGTCCTTTTGGCTAGGGAATTTGTAGCAAGTTTAAACCCTAAATTTTAAACTTTAAACTATAGATCATAGACTCGAATATAATATAATAGATTAAATATGTATATTCCCTTGTCCTGTCTTATAAATTGGAGACAGTTTCAACCTCTAATTTTATCTCATTTTCTTTTAAAGTGTCGTCTTAGGTGACGGCATATGTGTCGTCGCCTCTCTTATTCTTATTTTTTTGTTATATTTTTTATTTTCTGTTGATTTCTATACTTTTATGACACGAGTTCATATGCTTTTATGACATGGTTTTTTCTATCATTATATAATCTGATGTTTCGTTGCATTCATCACGACACATTTCCTGATCAACAAAAGCTGACAGTCTCCTATAGTTATATCATTTTTGCAGTAGTTTGAAGATGCATTCAAAACGTTCATAGAGTAATTCGTCAAACTGGTTCTCTTAATCTCCATGCCTTCATAATATTGTGTCTAGGTTCGAATAGATACAAATTATTGATAGTTGTTAGGTTTTCATGGAAGATGAATCATGTATTCAAGGAAAAGTACTTTTGATTTTATTTTACTCACTCCTTTAAATTTTCAGGCTGGGATTGTGTTAACTTTGTCGTACCTTACTTTTTTTTTTTTAATGAAAACCTAGTTTTATTTAAAAAAAAATTGATCGTCTCCTTTTCATAGTTGCGTTCAATTTCTGCCCTTCCAAACGTATTGAATACAACCTTCTATTGTTCATAACTTTTGCAATTTCAAGGCAGCAGTGCCCTAATAGAAGCAAACTTGACAAACACTATAAGATAGAAGTGTGTAATTCCCCCTGCAATGCATTCATGCTCTTGCTTATAAGCATGGTTGTATTCGAATCTTAATATCTGAAATCTTTTCTTTTAATCTTCAGACTGTGTAGTCCCAAGTCCTAACAAGAGTGGCTAGAACTCTCACAAGTCTTAACAAATATAGTTGATTAATGGACTATATAACTAACCTTCATTAATGAAATAGCCAGCAGAAAAAAACACATGTAAATCGAACAATTTTAATTAATTAATTCGTAGGTCACCCTCCTCCAAGGGAGATTACTTTAAGCAAAGAATGAATATGAATTCAATGTTGAAACACTGGCATTTGAGTTACATATAACTAGTTATATTTGGTATTTCATTTCCCTAAACAATCGAAAATTTGGAAAAGAAATGCCTTGCAAACTTTGATAATTTCTGAAAAAACCCCACATTTCCTTTTCCCTCACTTCAAGGGGCATAGATTTATTGGATGCAAAGAAAGCATAAAGGGAAAGGAATTTCCCACGCTGATAGCCCAGTTTTCAACTTTCAACACACCTTTGAAATTGAACCAAACCGTTAATAAAAAGATATGATACAATTAAGCTCCGTTCATCAAAGGAAAGCAAAATTTATTTTGGGATCAAAAAGTTTAATCAAAATTTTGTTTATTGAGGCAACGTGCATCCCACCTTTGGTTCATAGTTCATACAATTCTGTAAAGGATGTTAAACTCTTGATAAATGAATCACTTGAAGGAGGTTTGGGGGAAATGGAAGAATGTTTCTTTTTTTTTTCCCTCGAGAATTAAAGACGAAAAATGATATCTGCATAAGGTGGTAGATTAGTCTTCCTTTTTCCTGCCATAGGTAACCCACCTATTGCTAAATTGTTGAGAATATAAGAGTGAAATAAGGTGATGAGTTGCACATAATCTTATCAAGATTGTACAATTTGAAGTTGTTTGTAGGGGATGAGTTCCTTTAGGTTTTTGGACTGTCGGAAATGATGGCCCCAGCTTCTGTTTCTGTGGATGTATGCTGTGGAGTCTGTGAATCTGAGAAGAAAATCAGTAATAAATTTTATAGTGAGCACATATATATATATTATGTATGTATGTATGTATGTATGGGAATGCAAAAAGTGTGTGTATGTGTGTTATCATAGTTACAGACAAAATGGCCTGGAAGTGATGTTTCACTGAGAAACAGGGGCCCTCTTCTGCCTAGCTTCTATGTTAAGTCCTTATACATCAGTATTGGACTGGGGCACTGTAAGTTTGAAATGCAACAATACAGTGAGAGTTACTCTTTTACCGAACAATCTCAGCATACAAAATGAAGATAATTTGGGTATTGATAATGTAAAACTCGGTGGGATTTTCAAGACATTTTTGCTGTTGTTGGTAATGTTCTGCCTCAAAGCACTTAACTATATGAAGCTGTAAAGTCATTCTTTATTTACCTGCAATATTTAGTCCAAGTAAAAATACAGAAAGGGTTTGATTTCTGAAAAAGATATGAATACATACAAGTTTGGTACTTAAAAAACCAAATCAAGTCCATATAGGAATAGAAGAAATGATTAAAACAGTGGAAGTGAATAGCATGGTTAGCGGGGCTCAATGACCAGAATCAACCATCATCTGTGATACTGAATGACTCATACACTCCCTTGACATGCAGTAAAAATGAAAGGAAATTATAGAGTGAAATTAGTTTACCTGTGGAAGAAGGATAGCTGAGATGAAAGGGTGGGGGAGGATACCCCGGCATTTGAGTTGGATAGTAAAGAAAGGACGGTCCGGGGATAAGGTGAGATTGGGGTGCAGAAAATGTTCCCCTTGGAGCTTCCAAGGAATAACCATAGTAATATGGGGATCCCATTGAGGTAGATGATGATCCATATTGTTGATGATAGATAGCCTGCATAGCAAGTCAACAACATCCTTGAAAGCTCAACTATTTGCTTAATATTTAACAAAAGAGGATTAGTGGCATACTTGGTGGAATCCATATTCAGGACTGTAAGTTGGGTACCTGTAGAGGTATAAATTCATCAAAAAGGAAAACTTTCCCTTACAAGTAATTGCAGAAAGCAGCATCCTTATACAAATATATAGGAATCAATGATAGATAGATAGGATAAACGACTTATTGCAACACGGTTTTATGGTCCTACCTTTATAACAATTGTTTGTACCAGTACAAAGGACAACCCCTCGGGTAGGTACTCAAAATTATTTTAGGTTATGCATCAAAATCAAAAGATCAAGTTTTTACACTCCTACTACATGTACTATTTTTAATAGTTTATTTTTAATAGTCTGGGGTGATTACAAGAAAGAATCTGTTCGAAAGATTCTCAATCATTTGACAATAAACAATCAAATACTCATGTTCCCCACAGACGACATATGCCGACCTAGGATTTATAGGGATAACAACCATCCAATTAAACAATGAGGTTGCTTGGTTCGTAATACAGATACTAAAAGTACTACTCTGCATTTGATCAATAACATAATTACTATGTTAACCATAATAACATTTGGGGTGACCAGGGTTATAAGAAAATAGAACGTACAGAATACAGAACACAGTAATTAGCGGCCTAAAATTTAATCCCTTTGGATTTGGGATACTTTGATGTATGCATTTGGGCACTACAAAGCATAGCCTGAGTCGAATGCATTATTGGCTTGCATTATACAATCTGATATACCAACTGTATTGAGAAAGCACATGACTGTTAATGTAAGATTAACATGAATATGTTGAACAAAGAGAATACTCACCCATAAGGCAGTGGATACACGACAGGCGGAACCGGTGGCAGAGGAGGAGGAGGAGGAGGTGGAGGCACTGGCACCGGTGCTACAACTCCACTATAAGATGGTGCTCCTTGAAAAGGACTGTTGCCTCGATTTCTTCCTGCATTAAAAATCCACCATATCCAACTGAGTTTCAATAATTGGGTGAGGGAAAGTGCACAGGTGCAGAGAATGGGGACCTTGCGGTTGCAAAGGTCTAGCCCTTCCAAATGAAGCAATGTTACAGTTTGCTCTTCTTCCATCAATTACAGGATTCGGATCAACACAAGCCCTCCTTGCAGAATCAGGATCAAGGAAAGTAATCTGTAGAAACACCTTAATGAGCATATAAACATTAATAAGAAGAAATAAAATAAAAAACTTACAAAGCCGTATCCTTTAGATTTGCCGGTGATCTTATCAGTGATGATAACAGCTTCAAGAATCTCTCCGAACTGCTCAAAATAGCGACGCATTTCCGCTGCTCGCGTCTCCCATGGTAGTCCCCCAACGAACACTTTTGTAAAGGTGGTGTCACCAAAAGGTGATCGGTAGTGTGGACAAGCCATTGCATCTAAAACAGCAGAAATGGGGTTTATCTTTCCTTCTGCATGCAACTCTTTTCACAGTGGCATCTCGTATAACTTCAACGAAGACCCTTTCTTCTTTGCTATCATTGCTCTAAGGGCACCATTTGCAAAAGAATCATTGAAAGTGGCAACAGAGAGTGAGATGCAGCCTTTTTTATGATATCATACAAGTTGTTGGGTGTTGTTATTATTCGATCGGTTGGTTAATAAAAGAAAATCCACAAAAAAGGAAGAGAGCCGCCAGCTAATTTTCTGTGTATGCAGAGATATGGGTTTTTGTAATATGGAATGACAGCATTTTGAGCTTTGTCTTCCCTGTCTTTGCATAAATATAATCTCCCCAAGTCCCGGCTCCTTTGGTTTCTCCTCAAATAAAAAAAAAGTTTATTTTGTTGGCTTTTTTAATGTTTATTTTTGCTGTGCCATGTAGTATTGTTTGTTAGTTTTTCTTTTCATCTTATTATATGTAAACTAATGTTTATATATATATATATATATATATATATATATATTTGACTGTTAATCAAACCTATCTGGCAAGTACTTTTATTTCTATAGTAATTAATTTGGGTTTACACAACTAAATTAGTTAATGTGATTGGTGTCTTCAACTAAACATCCAACAAATTAAATTTAAAACCCATTAAGTGGTTTCAAAGTCTAAAGGGGGTGTTATTTTTGGAGGTTGGATAAAAAGAGTTGTCTACGAAATATATATGTCAATGATTAAACAAATCTTGAAAAAAATCTAAACTATAATCCCTCCAAACTATTAAAAAGATAGAATTAATTGAATTTGTTATATACTTTTGAATCCTTTGCATAATATTAAAGAAAGAGAAAATAACTTCAGTGACCGAAAATGCTTTATAATATACGATTTTAACCAACTTTTTTTGGATTTGCGAAAATGACCAACAAATTCGCAACGCGATCTCGAATTCGCAATGCGAACTCCAATTTCGCAACACAGTTTCCAAATTCACAATGTGAATATGTAAATCGCAACACGATTTTCCAAATTCACAACGCGATTTTCAAATTCGCAACTCGATTTTCGAATTCGCAACACGAATTTTAATTTCGCACCAGGTTTTATTTTCGTAACACAAATGTTTTGGGTATAAAACTACGCAACAGCAGCAACAACTCATAACCTAAATCCCTAAATCGCAACTCATTCCATCTCCATCTATCACTCTCTCCGGCGACATCCATTCCTATATCCAACGACATCCTTCCCCATCTCTATTTTTTTTACATAATTTTATTTCTATATAATTTTTCAATGATTTCTCTCCCAAATTATCAACTATCAACTTAATAAAGGTATGTTTTTATCTAAGTTAGTGATATGATATGTAGTTTATAGCTCGTTTGTTTAGCAAATTAATTTACAATTTGTATAGTGAAATCATCTAATGTTGATCGTGTTTGGATAGATTTGTGTTTTAGAGGGTCATGGGAGAATGTTCATGGTGTTTTACAATATATGCCTTTCCCATAAATCTTCAACTAAAACTGTCATTAAACAAGTTAACTTATGAAACTCTAATGTTACGTGTTGCAAAGAATTGAATTTAGCCTCTAAGTGGATTTAGGCTATCTTATCAGAGAAAAGGTAAAGTTTATTTGTTAATCGACAATGAAGATGTTGAACAATTCATTGCTTACATTAGTGTTCGCAAGAAGATGATGTTACATTGTATGTTGTTGAACCTAGAAGTAGTGAAGTGGGTCAGTAGCGGGTAGTAATCAACTAAGTTCTTCAACCAATTTATGGTGCTCACAATGTACAACGTTGTTATCAACCTCAAAATTTAATGGTTCCACCATAATTTCATCACCAAGAAAATTTTGTTTCACCACATTTCCAATACCAAACACAATATCAAACACAATCTCAAAACCCTCAACCTTTTCCTAATACAAATCCTAATCAACTTTCAGCACCAAATTCTGGTTTTCGTATTGACCAGTTAGACGATTATGAGCCAACAGAAAAAATTGTGAGTACTAGTCAGTATACGAAATTTGATCTTGGTCAATACCCGGACTTTGATCTTGGTCAATACCCAGACTTTGATGATGTTTCAGAAGAAGAAACAAACCCTGCGTGTAATGATTTTGATATTGGTCAATACCCAAATTTTGATGATGAAACAGCCGTTGCCGAGGAAGATGTTGTTGATAATAATGAGGAGGAAGTTACGACTGTGAATGAACATGTTGAACATCCATTCTGTAACTCATATAATCTTGAAGAAGAAAAAGAAGAAGAAGAAGTCCACGAAGAAAAGAAAAAGAAGAAAATGCCACGGGATTATAACTGGAATATGCCAGAATTACTTTAGATACCGGAAGAAGAGTTGGTAAAGATAGCAGTTGATTATTACACAAAAGTTATTCGTATCAAGAAAGATGATTGTTTTGATACAAAGAAAGACTTGAAGATAGCTTTATATACGAAATGTGTAGAAGATGGCTATCAACTAAAAGTTAACAAATCAAGCAAAGATCGTTTCGAAACAAAGTGTATGATTGATAAAAACTATACGTGGCGTATGATTGCAAAGAGGATAAAAGATTGCGAAATGTTTCAAGTTATGACTTTTATTGATAAACATACATGTTCAAGAACCCAAGTTTTTCCTCACCATAGACAGGCAAACAAAAAGGTGTTGGGTGGTTTTCTGGCTGAGTTAAAGTTTTTGAATGGCAGGGTATATCGGAGACATGAAATTATGATTGACATGAATGCTCGGTTCAAAATTAGTATCTCATATTTTTAAGATTGGAGAGCCAAATGTTATGGCTTGGAATTGTTGAGGGGTCCCCAAAAGCATCGTTTGCCCAACTGCCGGCTTATTGTCACAATTTAAAGCTAAAAAATCCTAGATCGGTAACTCATATCAAAACAGATAGAGATGAACGCTTTGAGTTGTTGTTTATCGCCATTGGTGCTGCGGTTAGTAAATCAATATAATTTTTTTGACTCATTTTTGTTAGTTACATGCATTTCACATTTAAATGATTATATTTCTTGTGTATATTATTTTGTAGATTCGTTTGTTTATTACATGCATGCGCCCAGTTATTATAGTTGACGGAGCACATTTGAAAGGTCGATACCTTGGAGTAAACTTATTAGCAGTAGCCATGGATGCTAACAATGGGATACTGCCAATAGCTTACGGGGTTGGCAAATCTGAAACCTCTGATTCATGGACATGGTTTATGGGGCATCTTAGGGATTGCATAGGTCATATTAGCAATCTGACAATCATATCTGATAGGGCAAACTCAATTGACAACGCTGTTAGAAGGTGTTTCCCAGATGTTTTTCATGGACTTTGTGGTGTTCATTTGTATAGAAATCCAAAATCAAGGTCTTCTGGTATAAAAATCACAAATGGACATACTGGAAGGCTGTAAAAGCTTATCGGGAAGTGGATTTTAATAAGCATATAAATTGTTTATGACGTGTTTTGCCTCAATGTGCTCAAACACTAGAAGATGTCGGGTTTGAAAGATGGTCAAGAGTACATCAACTTGGAGGAAGATATGGTTTCATGACGTCTAATAGTGCATAATCAATCAATGCTCTAAGACGCCATTCCCGAAAATTACCCATTACTATGTTAATGGAGTTTTTTCGAGCCTCTATTCAATAGTGGTACTACAAGAAAAGAAACCTTGCATGTATTATTTCTTTAAATTCGTAACTTATCATATTTATATATTTTACTAAGTATTATTTATTTAAATTTACAGGAACATTGGAACGTCGTGTTACACCATGAACTGAAAAAAAGATAATGAAACATGTTGTGAAGTCAACATCATGGAGAGTTGAACCATGTTCAAACACTTTGTTTGAAGTATTGGATAATAACTTAAATGGGCTTGTCGATATAAATGCAAAGACGTGTAGTTGTATGAAATGGTAAAAATCTGGTTATTCGTGTGGCCATGTTATAAAAGTTGCTCTTCATATAAACCAAGATGATTCAAGCGCATACGCTATAGATTACTACACTACAGAAGTATATTGACAGACTTATGCCGAGATTGTCTACCCTATTCCACATCCTTCTGAGTGGGACATACCATATGACTTACAAACAGTTTTGCCACCAGTCATGGATAGTAGGCTACCTGGCCGACCAAAAAGTCACGATCGTATACCATCTAAGGGTGAAGAGAAGAGGATATCGACATGTAGTCGCTGCAAGGAAAGTGGTCATACAAGGTTGACCTGTGGATCACCAGTGTCATCACAATCATCTTTTCCTCTACCAAAATATGGATCCTCATCAAAATCCAAAGCTCATATGGTTCCAAGCAAAAGGAAATCAAAATCACAATAAAAAAAATCCCAATCACAACCGACTTCACCTTTTGGGACTTATTAACTTAGGTGATTTTTAAATGCAAACGTTGTATTATGTGTATTTTATGTGTGTGAATGCATACATTTTCAGTTAAACATGCATTAGTAACTTGAGTTTGAACATTGCTATGATCTGTTAAGTTGTTATCACTTATCAGATTGTTGTCAGTTATCTTTTTTAAGGTGGTTTCTTCAAATTCGCAACGCGAAAGTCAAATTCACGTTGCGATTTTTTATTGCGATTGTTGCGAAAGTGTATCTTCAATAGGTCTTTTTTCCTTCAACATAATGTAGATAGAGATGGACTTAAACAACAAATCAAATTTTACAAATCAATTAAACAAGAAAAAAACAATTCTTATTTACACATCTAAAAAAACAAATCAACATCACATTGATACAATTAGCCCCATACAATACATCCAAATGCTCCTAACAATAGGGAGCTTACATCCAAATACATTCACGCAGCTCACTTCAGGATTTACCTGCAGAAACCAAACATTTTCTCAAACAACACTTTCTACATATCTAAAACCAACAAACAGTAAATTATTGAATTATAGGTACTTAAACCAAATATTTTCAAACCAACAAAGAGTATATATGTTAACAACACTTGCTTAA